TGTTCTTGCTTCTCCCCGTAATCGCCAAACAAGGTCGCCAACTTTAAATGTTCGTGGCCTGACCTTGGTCTTGCTTTCCTTGTGGTTTGTCGCGAATTGCCTTGCGGAACTCGGCATGCTCCTCCATCTGGATGTACCCAGCAGCGCGAGCTCGGAGCTCGTCCATGTCGGGAGGAGGTCGTCGGCAAAGGCTATCGACGAAAGGTCCTGGCTTCAATGCCATGAGCATGGAGTGTAGTGCGACCTCGGGATTCAGATTTCGGATCTTTACCGAGATGGCGGCGAATCGTTCCATGAACGTCCGGAGTGGCTCGTCGTCACTCTGTCTGAGACTGGCCAGGGCAACTGATGTTATGTGATGAGGTCAGCTCGTCGTATACTGTGCTGTGAATTGTCTGACCAGGGTGCCGAAGCTGTCAATTGACTCGGCAGGTAGCTGGGTGTACCAGTTGAGCGCGGCCCCCTTCAGTGAGGTTGGAAAAACCCTACACAAAATAGCATCGTTGTTAGTGTAGAGGTTTACCTGTGTCGTATACAGGTCGATGTGCTCGTCTGGGTCCGTCGTGCCATCTTAGCGGTCGAGGTGGAGAGGCTTCCACCCATGAGGGAGTGGTGTCTCCATAATGCTATCCACAAAAGGGTGGCGGCGGAAGGTTGCCTGATCCCCCGCGACATGAGTAGGAGCCTTGCTGACTTCATGGGTCGGCTTGTGCGTCGGTGCATGAGACCGATGTGAAGCAGGTCTGGGGGTTGGGACCCTAGTTGCAGTCCGGGATTGGGAGACTGAGTGCTCCTGCTCCTCATTATGGTTGCTCGTATGAGGAGGATGATCTCACTAACTTATTATAAGGCGTGTGTCATTAGTTGAAATTTTTTTTGTAGTAAATTAAAATATAATTATTAATATATGTTATAAAATGAAAATAATAATACATATATAAATGAGATAAAGTAAAATTTTAGTGGGGTAATTTCTCCTGCTACCTTGGCCATAGATTCGTCCTTGATTAAAGAAATTTTATCAATCAAACTTTTGAACAATAATTTTATATATATTCTTTAAATGTGTATATTAAACTTTATTAAAATTGAACAATAATAAGAAAATAATAAAATTAATTATTCATATATAGCATCTTTTTAAAATATATATTATGTTAATTTAATCTTATAATTTTGAATTAATATTAAATATTATAATTTAATAATATATTTTGAAAAAGCTCCACCTAATTAAAAGTCATATATTGAAAGGTGTAATTGAAATATATATATTGTTCTTACCGGAAATCTGCTGTAGAGCTGATCCTCCGAGTAAGATTGGTGAGCCTCCTTCGCTGGTACACTTGATGCTCCAAGATGGGGGTGGTACCTGTAAAAGAGACTCCGATGCTAAAGTTAGTGTTTGTGGGAGTATGAATCTCGTATAAGTAATGCACGTACCTTAGTGTGAATTAGGGTTGCTTTGGGCCTTGAGCCTGAGATAAGATATGATAAGATTAGATAGTGGATCTCGTCTGAAGCGAGATCCCTCGAGATCAGTTATGATCTGCTTAAATGCCGAGCTGACGTCGCGTAGCGCGTGCCCGACCTCATCTTGTGTTGTGATGCCAAGCTCGGAGCTCGGCTTCGCGGTACGGACAGTACAAAATTAATTAATAGATTACTAAAATTATTATTTTTTCTTAATAATTAAAGATATAATTATGTGGAGACGAAAAATATAGTTATAGGGGGAAGTATTCCTATTATGTATAGTATAGATAAATAATGTAGAAAGAATCGAACGAGGGCCGATAAATTAAATTTAGCGGAGAATTGTTCTTGCTTCAGATTCATTGCAATGGCTATATACAGTTCAATCTTATTAACTAGAATATCATCTTTGCATTCGAACGCAGTAATTTCTAAAGTTGGTAATCCTGACTTTAGAATGAGATTTCTTCCCTTGTTTTTCATATAAAAAGATAGTGTTAGCAAAAAGAACAAAACACGTTTATAGTATAGTTGGATTTAATTTTCATTTCATTATGTGGAATTCCGAACGTTCAACTCAGTTGCATTAACTGAGATAGTATATAGTTTATAAGTTTTAAGTTTCTTTTCAATCC